CTTAGATAAATACGACAGGCTTCGTATTTAATTGATTTATTTCCTAGTTATTATTTTTCCTTTTATTTAGTTATTTAGTAATTTCCATAATAATTATCTATCCTAACTTGTTGGGAAAGATAAGTAGATTATGAGTCTTATTTATATTTCTAAGTGTTCAGATGGAAGGACGATTGATTTTGAATAAGAATTATTAAGTTTCTCGTGAGTTTATCTCATCTTATCCCTTTTGTCTACAACGCTCTACATCAGCCAATTTATTTTTTCAATCAAAACTTACTAGAAAAGAAATTTCTTCCACCAAACCTTTTTATATTATTATAAATATAAATTTACTAAAACAAGGTCTCATTGTACTGTAAGTTGTAACGTAAGATTAGAGAATCAGGCAAGAGAGTGTGGTCCCACGCATATCAAACACATCATAATTAAGAGAGTGAGTCTAGGTACACCATAGTGAGGTTCAATCTCAAAACCAGTTGGTGATGGGAGAAGTAGCCCACTTGACTTATATACTAGGCTCATTTTCCCTATAGAATCAATGTGGGACAACTCACAAGTGATACTCCAACATGTAACGATAAAATTATGTATGGGGTGTATGTTTAGAACACATTCATCTTGTTGGAACACTTTCATATAGACGGAAATGTTACCCTACTCACAGTAGACATATGTTAATATGCCTACGGAAATGCTTCACTACTTACGGAAGACACATGTTAATATGTCGACCGTTTACGTGACACCGGACTAGGTAGCATTTCCGGGAAAAAGGAAATAGAAATGAAAAGCAAAGTTAACAATTTAAGCGGGATATTCCCACTTTATTTATTAATTATCAAAATCCACATTTTCTGCAGTTTCTGTGTGTTTAGATTCAAGCAAATACAGTGAGATTAGTTACAAGAAGATCCGATTCCGAGGAGGAGGAGGAGCAGCAGCTTTTATCATCAATTTCATGCGGTTAAATTCTTGCCTCATCTCCTCACCTTCTTTAATTTTTCCCCTTTTTAATTCTGTTTAGTTTTTTTCTGGGTTTCTTGCTGGTCTTGCCCCTTTTACTCAGTAACACTTCGAAAACTTTAATAAATTGTTTATCATTTGTTGCAATCTTTATGTAATTTACTTGTTAATTAGGTTTTTGTTCGAATTTAAACCAACATTTCTTTTAGATTTTTCTTCATTTCTGGAGACTCGTGCAAAAAAA